TCCACCTGAAATAAAATTCTGTTTCAAAATATTGTGCATTTGAATTAACACTGTTTTATGAATTTTGTTTCTTATTTAAATAAGTACCTACAGTTACATAAAAGCCAGCAAACTATATGTTGTAGCAATACTAACATTATAATAAATAGTATATGATGATAAATCATGACGGTCACTTCCATTGTAGACAGTCTCCTAACCAGGCATGACACGATAAAGTATGAAAGCTTATTTCTGCCACAGGCGGGGAAAAAAAGTTATTACTTTTTTGTCTCTCACAATTGTGACTTTTTTCTCACAATTCTTTGTTTATAGCTCACAATTCAGTCAAAATTGCATTGCATAATCTCAGAATTGTCAGAAAAGAAAACTCACAATTCTAAGAAAAAATGACAATTCTGTGGCGGAAACAAGAGATGTAAACTCAGAATTCTGACAAAAAAAAAGTCAGAATTGCAAGATTTAAACTCAGACGTCTGAGGGGAAAAAAAATCATAATCGCAAGATGTAATCTCAGAATTCTGACGAAAAAGTCAGACTAACGAGATCTAAACTCAGAATTCCGACAAAAAAATCAGAACTACGAGATCTAAACTCAGAATTCCGACAAAAAAGTCAGACTAACGAGATCTAAACTCAGAATTCCGACAAAAAAGTCAGAATAACAAGATCTAAACTCAGAATTCCGACAAAAAAGTCAGACTAACGAGATCTAGAATTCCAACAAAAAAAGTCAGAATAACGAGATCTAAACTCAGAATTCCGACAAAAAAGTCAGAATTGCGAGGTCTAAACTCAGAATTCCGACAAAGTCAGAATTACGAGATCTAAACTCAGAATTCCAACAAAAAAGTCAGACTAACGAGATCTAAACTCAGAATTCCGACAAAAAAGTCAGAATAACGAGATCTAAACTCAGAATTCCAACAAAAAAGTCAGAATTACAACCGACAAAAAAGTCAGAATAACGAGATCTAAACTCAGAATTCCGACAAAAAAGTCAGAATTACAAGATCTAAATTCAGAATTCCGACAAAAAAGTCAGAATTGCGAGGTCTAAACTCAGAATTCCGACAAAAAAGTCAGAATTGCAAGATGTAAACTCAGAATTGCGACAAAAAAGTCAGAATTACGAGATCTAAACTCAGAATTTCATCAAAAAAGTCATAATTGCGAGATCTAAACTCAGAATTCTGAGGAAAAAATACCTTCTGAGATTGTGCAGCAGATCAGTGTGAGCCGACAATTGTTTGTCGTTGGAAACTTGTCATGTTGTGCCTGGTTAGGGCAGTGTTAGATGAATGGACTGCTGAGGTAATGGAAAGTGCAATTGTGTTTTCTATGTATCGAACATCAAGATGATCGAAGGAATACGGTTTTAAAATCTGTCACACCTCCATTTTGCTAAATGGCTATTTCCTCAGAGAAAATATTGTGGTCAGCGTAATCCATCCTTTCTCTTTGTTTACTTTTCTAATATATATCAGGTTCATATATTGAATCATAAATCTGTGTAATATTCCAGATGATCTATAACGTGCGTGTAATTTGGTAGTAGGCTTTAGTATTTTCGCTACAGGTACACAGGAACAGCCGGAGAGATTATTCAGATTTATTGCAGTACATGAGGAAGCAGCTGCTGTTTGCCAGGAAAGGCTTCAATTTCATTCGCCGAGATCAAAAACATGATGCTTGAAAGATCCTGTGAAATATTAATAAATCTGCCCCTGGAAGGCGATCTCTCCTTTTTCTCCATTTCTGTTTGTGAGTTTCTCTTCATTAAGTGGGTTTATGAACATGACAGATACATTTGGTGCATTTGTAGGAGCTCTGGGTTGATTGTGAATGTTGCTGCCTATAGTAGACTCACATTGATGTTTACATTTTGCTACATTATCATGCTTGCTGGAGTACATCCAATCATTTAGCGTTTGAGCTACAGAACATGGCTGTTCTGAATGTGTCGCACAGGTTCGTGACTGAAGGACGAAACCGACTCTGTGACTCCATCTCAAGTGCTAACATCTTTTTGTGTACAATTCTTTACTCTCAAGTGATCTGTTCTATTTTTGTTATATCTATATCTATATCTATATATATTGGGACTTGTGTTTGCTGATTCTCTGATGTAGAGATTCTGTAGGATGTTGATCATCATTGACGTGGTACTGCAGATGACTTTTGTTGACATTTGTTGATATTCCAGTTTCTTGCAGTTTTGTGGGGAAAATAAAAATGTGAGAAAATGCTTACGGCTGTATAAAAACATTTTCCCTTTTTTTTTTGACATGGAAACCGTTGTGGTGTGGTATGAAATCTTTCCAAACATTATTAAAAACATGGAATAAATCCACCTGTCTTTGAGAATTAATGACTTTGTTGAGCCAAATTTTCCTACTTGGTAAAGCCTTCCAACTTCCAGGAAGTGTTATTTTAGTATCACTAATAGCTATAGTTGTTGTGCATTTTTGCCATTTTATTTTAATTTTTTTTCATTTTT